ACATTATAGATGAATGCGAGAAAATTCAATATAGTATCATGAGCCTCTTAGTAGACATAAATCATTGCCGACTTAATACAAACATATTATGACCTAGTCAGCTAAAAAGTGAAATTTCCAGAATAAAAGGCAGTTTGTCTGAAAATTTAGTCTTGCCAGGGAAAAGAACAGGCACAGAATTAAAGAAGATTTATACATTATTGACGGCTAGAGGTTTATTTGTGGATAAAAAATTAATAATTAATGCCAAAATACCATTGTTTGGTAGACATGCTTCAGTACTTTATAAAATTATCCCAGTTCCGGTAAAACTGGACGACCGCATGATTACAGTGCACGTAGATTCTCAGTACTTAATTTATAATTTTGAGATCGATGCATATCATCTTATGAATCTACTATTAATAAATGTCAAAGGTGGCAGTCGAATAAAAGAGTTTGCGAGGGAAGTTGGCCTTGGAGTAGTGCTAACGACAATAGTTGTGAGATTAAACCTCTCAAACCAAATAAGGCATCGAACTGCAGGTATAAATCGATTGTTGAGAGTAAGTCATATTGGGTTGAGTTGGAAAAGAAAAGTAGTTGGCTTTTTAAAGTTCAAAACAATTCTAAGGCTAGAATTCAGTGTACCAATTAAAAAATAGAGATAATAGATTTACCTGAACAAGGAATAATGACTTTGAGGTCAGATTGTACTGCTCGAACTGATGATAAAATATTAGTTGCTCAACACAGTATTCAGTTAGAAGATCAGGGAACATTAGCGTTGTCTTACATTGGGGAAGTTAACGAGATACCCAAGATTATTTGGAACCCGCTCGACATGCCATTAATCAACCATACGGACGAAATCAATCGTTTGTCAAAGGAAATTTAATACTTAAAAACTCACAAGCTAGAATTGAGGGAATTAAACTTTCACCATTTAACTGGACATGCATCCCTAATTTTAGCAATTGTAATAATAATTATATTAATTGTACATTTTATAAGGAAAATAAAAATACGAAGGCAGTTACAAGCCATAGCATTACCCAGCGGTATGCTTAATATATAAATTTGTAGATACAATAAATCATTGATATAAAAATATTTTATGTTAAAAAAAAATAAATAAATTCACTATAATGTTAAAACACAATAATTACAAGCCGTGAAGGGGTGTCAAATTTATTATGCAAAATAAAATATATCGAATTAATACAGTCCACTAATTTTGTATTGCAATATTTTTGAGAATAAATAAAATAAATTGTAATTAACACAGACACCTAATCTTGCCGGCCCTTGCCAGAATGTTCAGACGAACACTAATAAAAATAAAATATAATACTTTATGAGCTCTGTGCATGTCATGTGACAGTTGTAAATCGATCCAGAGCCATAAACTATGATCTGTAATTATAGACCCTACAGGGGAGCGGTGCTAGCACTTGTAATCTGTAAGTGCAGGCCACTTAAGCCAAACCGAAGATAATCACTTGAGATGCTTCTCACACTGCACCAAAGGTTCCTGTGCGGGGGTCAAATGATAACTCTCCCGCGCAGGCAGACGCGGCCTCTGCGTAGGCCACAGATAAGACCAGAATAAGAATTTCATGTTAATTTCCTAAGCAGGGCCTTAGAAAATAAAATTCAGTTTTAATACAGAACTCAACGGAAAAGGTTGTTTTATTAATTCATCCCTTTCAAATTTTATTTATTTATAATAAATAGAGTAGTTTACAAAACTAAGCTAACTTAGATAGTATAGCACTGGCTGCATGTATATTGTATCTTAATCTAATATTGCGTAATTGGCTAGTAGATTGTTGTGTTTATTAGGAACTTTTTTTTTTTAATTTTGTAGTATAATTCAGTTTTTTTATGGAAAAGTAGGATTTTTTGTATGTTGTCTGGGTCAGGGTTGCTAAGGAGGTTTAGGGGGTTAGTGTTTCTAAATATGGTTTGTTTGGGTTGTAGGATTGATGGACACGACAAATTGATGTTGAAGTTCGTTCTAATTAGTGTTGGTGTGTCCTAGTCTAAGTCGTATTGTTTTATTTGGTAAAGTCTGGTCCAGTTTTGGTGGGACTGTTTTAAGTAGTCCCAGGTGTGTGAGGTATTCGTATTAATTGATTGGTACCGTTGACTGCAATGTATAATGGTTTCCTTTTGTTTTATCGCAAAATCAGATTTAAGATGTCTTTTTATGTCTACGTTATTTATGGTTGGGGTGAAGATAAGTAGCATATTGTTTGCTGACTTTACGGCTTGATCGGCTAGATCGTTTCTTTTTATTTCTGCATGGCCAGGAATCTACATTACTTTAATTTTAGGGGCATATTGGGTTAAAAGTAATCTGATTCTGTTTGGGTAGAAGTTGTTGTTATTTGCGTTCTGTATTGAGTCTATTGTTGCTGGGGAGTCGGAACAGATAATGAATTTGGTTCTTAATAATTTCGATTGCTTCTAGGATGGCTATTGTTTCTGAGGTAAGGACGGATGAATAATAAAGCAGAGTGCCATATTTGAAAATGTTTGTTTCTGTTGTAATGGCATACGTTATGGTGTCATTCATTTTTGAACCGTCGATGAATATGAAATTATGTGGTTTAAGTTTATTCTTTGAGTGTTCGAACAGTTTTCGGTATGTTTCTGAGGATGTTTCGTGTTTCTTGTACGTTCGGAATGATGTGTCTATTTTTGTATTTATAAGGTTTTATTGTTTTGTAAGGTAGAATAAGTGCTAGGCTTAGTTTGATTGTCTGGTCTATTATTTGTGACTTTTTCCTTTTGGTTTTTTTATGTTTGATAAACTTGTGGATTGGTGTGTTTTTTGAAAATATTAAGTTTTGAGATAGTTTGGCAGTTTGAAGGTCTCGTCTCATTTTTAGTAGAGGAATATTTGCTTCGTAGAGTAAGTAATTTATTGGAGAAGAGCGATAGGCTCCAAGGGCTAGACGGATTGCAGAGTTAAACGGTTTTTTTACTTTGTTTAAAATACTTTTGGGAGACTGTCCGTATAGAAACAGACCGTAGTCTAATTTGGCTATGAGTGTTGCCTTCGCGACATTGAATAGTGTTTAAGTATTGCAGTTACATTTAAGACTAAACATTTTATTATGTTTAGCTTACTATGGAGTTTAGGCAAAAGAGTATTAATGTGTGTGTTCCATTTATATTTGTTGATTATTGTTATTCCTAGAATTTTTAGTGCAATTGTATTTTTTGCATATGTGGAGGTGTTGGCATTTGGATGGGGATAGCGATGCCCCTGAGTAGGAGCGAGTATCGTTAAAGAGGTTGTCTAGGTTGAAGATTTTGTTTTTATTAAAGTTTACTATAAGAAAGAAGTAGTCGCGTATGCATTAAATTTGATTTCTTTATTAATGGATATGATGTCTTATAGTTTATTGAAGGCGATTAGGAATAGTATTACGGATATGGAACCTTGGGGAATTCCATTGAATAAGGGTAATGAGTTCGATGTATGTGGCCCGACTCGGACAGTTATTTTTCTGTTAGTCGTGAAGTTTTTTATGTAGTTGATTATTTTTGGACCTATTTTCCATTTCTGGAGTTAGTCGATTACTGAGCGTACACCGACTCGGTTAAAGGCTCTTGATAAATCAAGAGTTACGAGGGAGGTGTGCATTTTTGACTTCGTTATAAGATAGTCTACATAAAGTAGGCAGTCAGAAGTCGAATTGCCTTTTTTAAATCCGAATTGGTTTTCGTTCAGTAGGTTATCATATGTCACGAACCACTAGAGTCTTTTGGCTATACTTTTATCTAGTGTTTTGGCTATACAGCAGTTGAGCGAAAATTATCTGTGTTCGGCTTGATGATTGGAATGATTAGACTTGTTTTGTAAGCTTGTTGTATGTGATAGTTAAATATTTCGTTGAAAAGTTTTGTTATTCTGTTTTTTGTTATGGTGGAGCTATTTTTGATCATTTGATATGATATTCTGTTTAGTCCAGGGGCAGATCCTTTTAATGTTTGTAGGGCTGAGGTAAGTTCTAAGAATGTTATGTTTTTTCTATGGTTTGGGCTATTGCAGAGGGGGTATAATTTTGAAAGTTTCCTTTATATTTGTGGTTTCGGAACTCCTCTGAGAAGGAGAGGTCTGAGAAATGTCGTGCAAATATGTTAGAAATTTCGTTGCTGGCTAATGTTGTCTCATTGTTTTGTGGGTTTGTGAACGCATGCATTTGTTTAACTGGGTTGAGTTAGCAGAAGCGACTTATATTGGATCAAATTTTGGATGAGGGGGTAGCGGGTTGGATGGTAGAGTTGAAAGAGTTGGAAGCTTCTTTTTTACTTTATTTAGTTCGAACCTAAATTTTGCATTTTTGCGCCTAAAGTCTATAACATTTTCTACTGTAATTATTCGGTTTAATTTTTTCCAAGCAAGTTGTTTTTGTTGTCGTAGTTGGTGGAGGTGTTTGTTTTACCATGAAACCCTGTATGGATGAGTATTTGGTGAAGTTTGTGGAATGGAAAGGTTTGCGCTATATAGGATAATTCTGTTAATTTGGGCTGCTTCTTTGCTAAGGTTTTGGGAAATTGAATATTTTTCGTTTATTGAATTTTTGTGTTTTAGTTGATGGAAATAGGGTCGTGATAAGTGGTCGCTACCATGAAGGTCATTCAGTATTTCCTACTAAGCGTGGGGGCCAAAATTATAGAGCAGAGTGTGAGGTCGATGTGGGTATAAGTATTGTGAGTTGAAAAATGTGTGGGAGATTTGTCGTTCAGTAGAATAAGGTGTGTGTGTTTGTTGTTGGTGATCCCCATAATTAGTGAGGGTGCTTGTTGTGTGTTAAATGTGTTTTAATAATGTGGTTAGTAATGTTTTTGGTGGGAGATATGCATATTGAAAATATGTTTAATTTTAGTTTAGATTCTAAATTTATGACCATTGCTTTTAGGTCGTCTGTGATGTTAGGGATAGTGTATTGAATTGACTAATGAACTAAAAGTGCTACGCCGCCAAATCTTGCTATGTTGCTATGTTTGTTAATAGTTTGTAGTTTATTGGGGTTGGTATATTATTATTGACATTTAAGTGAAAACTAAAGCTTGTAACATAACTTCTTTGGTAATGTTAACGCTTATGTTTGAGTCTTATTTTGGGTTTGAGTTTCTATATGGATTCGCTGTCGCTGTTATTAACGTGTTTTTTTTTGTTTAGAGCTTTGGCCTTTGTCTTAGATGCTTTAATATTCGTTGTCAGGTTATTAAATTTATCTTCAGGGAAGATTTTTATTTATAGGTTTTCTGTGAGTTGTGACGAGTATGGTGTGGCTAGTTTTCTGGTATGTGTTATGCAATCAGTATCCATGTCTTCTAGTTTGTCGTAATCTTAGTGCTGATGGTCTTGAAGAGTTTTGTGTTTGTAAGTGTTTTGGCATAGGTGTTCCTCAATTGAAATCCGTCTCTTTCGCAATAAATACGTTGGGCCGTTTTGTGGTCAACTTTCTGTGTGGTTTTAATAGCTGTTAATTTACGTTTACATTTACGGTCGATTAGGCTGTGCTGATGGTCAAGTTCAGGGTTGTTTTTGCAGTTTAGGCATTTTTTTTCATTTTTGCATGTTTGTCCGTCGCTTGTGTATTTTATTTCTGAGCAATTAGGAGCATTTTCTGCATCGGAGTGGTAGAGGGATGTACCCACGTACAGAAACTGTTTCGTAACCGATTCGCAATAATTCTGGGAATTTGTATGTATCAAATGTTATTATGATCAAGCCTGTTTCAACCAAAGTGGTGTTGTTTCTCAGAGTTATAGTTGTTTTCTCGATTCATTATTTTTTCACTTCGCTCACTTTTTGTGCTTTTAGCTCTTGTAGAATTGTGTCTTTGTCAATATATCTAAGGTCGTTACAATAAATAACTCCCTTAGAGAAGCTCAATGTTTTGTGTTCACTTATTGTAACTTCGATTTCCGCGATTGTTGTAAGTTTAAGAAGCTTTCTGGCTTGCAATTCATTTTTGGTTTTTATTAAAAATGTACCGTCTCTTATTTTTTTGCATCTGTCGACTTCTCCTCCACTGACAAAGTCTACGGATTTTTTAAATATGAATGGTGATATTCATATTCAGTCATTTAATTATGATAAATTTTGTGTCGCCTAATTGGGAATGATTATGATGAGCGTTTGAAAATGTCTTTTGGGTCCGTCATGATAGCTAATGAAGGGCTTGAGCCGGCATTAGAGATTTTCGTGTGTTTGGTTTTGTTGGGTATTTTAATTTCTCTTTGTGGTTGATATTTGTTTGTGCAAGATGATTTGCTGATAACGTTTTTGGCTTGCAAGAAGCTAGGCTGTACACTGTTTTGGCATCTCTCCGGAGGTTGAAGTTGTACTGTGAAAATTTGTTGCACATGTTTAAGATCAATGTTATTTCAAGTTTCCACTCACATTATTTATATTATATCATTTACCTTCCTTCAGATTTCCTGGTAGATTAACTCCCGCCTTTGGTCCGCCCCTTTTGTCTTTTCCGAAGTTTTCATTTTGTATCGTTTTTGAATTGTTTGTGTGTCACAATGCTTGTCGATTTTCTCTTTAGCCAGCAACACATTTTTATTTGGTTTTCACTTGTATTGGTTTCGTCAAAAACCGCTTTCTTTTTTATAGTGGAAAAAAATTAATATTACATTAATAATTAATACATTATTTAATTAATATATTTATTTACTTATAGAGTAGCAACGCAAATATGATCAGTCAGCCGTCTGTTCGCATGTAAACAGTCCAATGCTGGGTCAGCAAAGATTCCGTCGCAGACTTATTGTCCGGTTAACTAAGCTAACTTATATTATTGTTAAATACAATTTGTAGGGCCTGACTTCTTGCACAGAAAAACCAGTAACGCATTAGTCAATTTCCGCGACTATAAGATACCCGTAACTGTCTTATCTAAATTCAAAATTACCAGCAGAAATATATATACATAAGTATGTTTAACAGCTGATGGTTACGTCCCTGTACATGTGAAACCTTATAACCTACATAATAAAGTTCAGATCTAAAACATTTTTGGTACATTGTAAGAAATTGGCTAAAAATAATATACAAGTTAAAAAAAAAATAAAAAATTAATATTATGAACGCCACAGTTTTCCGCGGTTAGTGGGCGCGATAAGGTGGCTAGAATAGCTATGTCTGATCCTAACTTTCTTTTAGCTTTTATACGCAGTTTTAAATTCTTAGCATGTTAAGTTTTCCGAGCTTTGTAGGCTTTTGAGTGGACGGTGGCCAGATGCGAATTAAAAGCATATAAAAACTTTTTAAATATTACAATTATTTTTGATTATATATGTCTCGAAAAAAATAATTTTTAGTTAGAAATATGATTCAAAAATAAGCTACTTCTTGCTAGAAATACGTCTCAAAAACGAGGGAATTTTGAAAAAAAATGTTAGGCTCGCTGGAAAAAATTTAGAAAAGAATCGGATCAAGAACTATAAGACCACACCCATCAACACAGGCTCAGACTAGTCAGTCCCAAATTCTCCACGACCAGACTGAAAAACAAAATTCTCATTACATTCCAGACCCATAACCACAGACTCAATTCAGGCAAAATAATCCATCCCAAATTTTCCACGAAAAAATTTTCTTATTACGGGCATTTGAAAAGAGAATATTGTATACCAGGGAAAATAAACTTAAATTAGGAAAGTTTTATTAGAAAGTCTTAGAGTACCTAAAACTCCTAACCGAGATTTAATTATGTATACAAGAAACTCTTAGAATAATTAAGTTCAGTTTGAGGGTTCAGAAAGATAAGCGAACTTCAACTGAGTAAGAACCCGTTTAATATTGTGAGAAAGGAAAAATAAAATAACATTTTTTAACCGAAATCTTTAATTATATATATGACCAATATTTAAATAAAAATCTAGTTTTATTACCTGTAAATATGGCGATAATGGCTTTAATAAATACACGTCAGAGTGGAGATTATAGTCCGTACTCCTAAAACTTTTTAAAAATTACTTGGAACCTATGCAAAGTTCAAAAGCATATTTTTTAACCCCCCTGCACGGTTTTGTTTCTTTCTGCACTTACATACATATTAATGAAGCAATTTCTACTTACTACTTGGATAGTTAAATTTTAATGTCAAGTACATACTGTGTATGTACATACAGTTAGTCAATAAAGTATTCGTTGCGAGGTCCTACCTGACTAAATGCATGTGTCTCTTAATGAAAGAGTAAAAACTCGATTGTTTAAGTTTTTTTCAATTTAACACCATTTTAACATTCAAAGTATAACTAAAATTAGGAAAACAGGAAAACTGTCGTCAAAAATATATTCATTTTTTTATTTTGAACTAAATATTAAGGTTTTTGGTTTTAGTATATTTTGTGGAAGCCCTTATTTTTCCTTATCGATTTTTATCGATTTTTTTATTGCATCTTTATTATTTCCCTTATTTTTAACTTACACTGAAATTATATGCATGTTCCTTAATTTCCTAGTTCTTCTCTCTAATCCTCAGAAGGTAACTCACTGTCTCCAGTTAGCTACGGATCAGTAGCTCCGGACGTCCATACCGTACTTCACTGCTGCTCGGACCTCGCCTTACACGGCTTTCACTGCCTCTAGTTATTCTCCAATTCTGTGCACTGCTAAGGTGCCATTCTCTCCGTGAACGCGCATAGGAATATTGTAAACTCCTCTGGATGACCCAAGAAGGTATGCTCATCGTCGCTATTCCATATGATTGGGGCGATGGTGTAGATACCTCAAAATTGTGTGAAGGCACCGTGGCGAATGAACATAAACTATTTTAGGCTGCGCAGTGGCGTTAACATAAAATGGCGGAGAATAGCTCAATGTTGTTGTTGTATATGTGCGTGTGACACGTTACCCGTTTGCACAATGGACGCCGAGTGTCGGTGCCAAATTTCCACTTAATTGAGCCAGCAAATGCTCATCCAAAGATTTCGTCACTACTTACACGTATTTTGCCCGTCGCATTGGGCTGATGTTTACTTGCCGCTTTCTATCGGATTTTTCACATTACCAATCGCCAGCCACACTAATCGCAGTTGCAGAAACACCTGAGATGTGCAGTCTGCGGCTCCGTCGGGGAGATTGCTTTCAGAGAACGTCAAGGGTGTCTTTTTTTGGCACCCGAATCACACTCATACATTTCGAGTGTTTGTCGCACTCATGTACAGCAAGAAAAGATCACACACCCGGAGTACACAGATCGCTTTGTGTGTTTTGAGTGTTTGCGTTTTTGTCACCCACTCAATTCTATGCATATGATTCTAATGCACATACACCCGACACACTCAAAGCAAATGAAGGGAGTGTCTGAGACACCCATGTTTTAGGGAAAAGTGAGTCGGGTGTCTTGAAATGAGTCGGGTGTCTTGAAATGATTCGAGTGTCTTGAAATGATTCGAGTGTCTTGAAATGATTCGAGTGTTTCGGGTGTCTGCAACTGACCTGAGTGTTTCGGGTGTCTTCAGCTGTATTGCATGAGCAGGTCATGGAGGGTTGACCGAATAATTTTACATGAAAGGAAGGAAATCCCAATAATTATTAGAGCCCTTATCGGTTACAATAGGAAATTTATTTATTAATTATTTGTTGCAGATGTTTAGAATCAATGTTATTTTAAGATCCCACTCACATTATTTATGTCATTTACCTTCTTTCCTTCCCTTTTTGTCCTCTCCGAAGTGTTAATTTTGTATCTTTTTTGAATTGTTTGTGTGTCACTGTATTTCACTATTTTCTCTTTAGCAAGCAAGACGTTTTCATTAGGTTTTTACTTGTATTGGTTTGGTCAAACAGTGGGAAAAAACCATTAGTTGATCGCTAATTAATATATATTTAATACTTATAAATTGATATCGTGAAAAATCTTTTCTCACAGTAGCTACGCAAATATGATAAGTCAGCCGTCTGTTCGCATGTAAACAGTCCAATGCTGTTTTTTATATTAGTGTGTGAGGATACTAATCACGGGCCGGGATATAGGCTTCAGTCAGCCCAGGGTCCCCTACAGAAATATTTGTACTGAGACAGGCAGGAAAAGGATGCGAGGTGGTCTTCGAGGGGGGAGTCGGAGTTTCTTTGGCGACTGATCCCGTCTACCGGGAATCGGTTGTCTGGCCCCGTCAGCCAGGAGCCGATGCCCAAGCTACGAGGGAGAATATAGGCGACCGATCCCGTCTGTCGGGAATCGGTTGTCCGGCCTCGTCAGCCGGGAGCCGGTGCACAAACTACGAAGGAGGGAAAGGATGGGAGAGATGGGGGAAAATGCGGTTCCGTCATCCGGAGACCGCTTGCCGCCCGATTCCTAGTGACCGAGATTGGGGAAAATGATTCTGGAGCCGAGTATTTGTGTATTAGTACAGTTATTTTATTCACATGTCTTGCTTTTGTAGTATGCACTAAAATTGAATACCCACTGTACCGAGTTCTTAAAGGGTACGCACTGTAACGTTTTGTTGCAGTGTTTACATAATTCATGGTCCCGGTCATACACCCCAAGTGGCCGAAATATGCACCGATTGCTTGTAACGGTCCTGCTTTGGGGTGGCTGGGACAGTTCACCGGCTTGTTTAGTTAAGAATAGAACAGATCTTAGTTATTTATTTCCTATCTATGGTTACAGAGTTAATTCACAGGGGATCGGTTGGTCGTGGCCGTGGATGGTCTGCGGGCCTGGGGAAGAGAGCTTCCGACGAGGGGTATCCGCGGGTTCGATGCTCCGTTGTGGGCCGGGGGGATGCCGCGTGAGGGCAGGGCCACGCCGTCTTGGTAATCCGCTAGCTAAGAAAGGGAGATAAAAATAGAAATGATGGAGCGTGTGTCGGCCCGTAAAAAGAAAAGAACCCTGGGGTTCGGTATGAGAAAGATTGAATTGAAACCCAGTGGGTCTCGGGTGAGATGATGGCGCGAGGCCCTTGGGGTCCGACACGTAAGAGATGCAAAGCCCCTGTGGGTCTCTTGCGAGAGATAACACAAGGCCCTTTGGGTCCGACGTGTGAGTGATGCAAAGACCCAGTGGGTCTCTTGCGAGAGATAACACGAGGCCCTTTGGGTCCGACGTGTGAGCGATGCAAAGCCCCTGTGGGGCTCTTGCGAGAGATGACGCGAGGCCCTTGGGGCCCGACGCGTAAAAGACGCAAAGCCTGGTGAGGCTGTTGCGAGCGTGCCGGCAGTGATCCAGTGGATCTGCTGCGGGCAAGCATCGGCGGTGCCGATGGCAGTGCTCCCTCGGTATGACCGAGGTCGAATTTATTAGATTTAGCCTTCGGCTAAATCCGACCAAAAAGTGACGAGTGCTGGTGAGGGTGCCCAATTCCGGAAGAGGGCTGATCTTACCTGGGTGAGATCCACCGCAAAAGTGATTCTTCCCAGAAACCGGTCCTCCTTATATACTCCGTGACTGCAGTCAGTGTGCCCGTTCCCGAAAATCCCTTTATGTGGTGTGCCCGTTCGGCCCGGCAGTGTGACCGACCGTGGTTTACTAAGGCGCGTCCGCGCATTCAAATTCAAATCTAATTTATTTCTTCTTAACTAATCAACTTAACAAACGAGTACTTCAGTGTTTTTTCTACTTATAACTATAAAACGAACTATCCTATATACTCCATGATTGCCCTTACGGCTATTCTTACTTCCTAACATTATTCCTTATTTCAACTTTTATGCGCCCCGGGCGTCATATGCTATGGCTTAGGCCACTCGCAGAAAGTGCTAGCGTCGGTATAATTGCATGAACGGACCGCATGTGCGTACCCCTCGCGCTCCTCACATAAGAGGGCATATGTTTATATACATAAGTACATATATAGCCGTCTCTCTGTCGCCGTCTGCGAGCAGCGCAGCAACGAGACTTAGCCTTAATTAGACTTAAAAGAATATTGTAAAGACACAATCAATTCAAGCGGCAATTGGAGCGGCACCTCTCCTGCTCCCTGAAATAAAGAATAAACCAAGTACAACAAGTTTGTTTTATATTTCATGGCGATCCTGCCGTTTAAACATTTCATGGCGACCCCCGCCATGGGCCACAGCAGTAAAGCTACAAAGTGAACTTGACCTTCTGAAGTCAAGTATAAAAAAGCCCAAGACGGCAGTCACAACTCACCCAATTACTAAATTAATGAAAAATACTAAACCTCCATCACCTAAGGAAATACCGAGGAGGAAGGACCGCTGCCCCGCCGACTGCCCAGGGCCACTAAGCAGAGTGCACTGTAAATACACATGCACAGGGAAAAACAACTAGTGTGAGAGGCCATCCGCCCCTTACACCTCCGTGGGAGAAGCTGCCTGTGCGAAGCCAGCACCGGCACCGCCTGAGCCCATAGGCCCAGGACAACAGCAGCAGATACAAAGCGTGGGAGGCACGACCGCCACCTGCGCCTTCGAGGGAGCTTCAGCATAGCCAAGCCGGCGACGACCAGCTGACGCGGACCGGAAAGAGCATCAAAAGAAACATCGCAGCAGAGGACGCAGGATTAACCCATGCACTGCGTTGCATATTTTTTTTGATTGCACTGCGAGGCATATTTTTTTTATATAACATAATATAAATTGTAAAATTGAGCGGAACCATCTCTGCCCAATTAGTCGTGCAGCCCGTAAGGCTATGCAAAACAGTAGGTAGAAACCTGTAAAGATAGATAAAAGATAATGCAATAAGCAAATCCTCAATAGAAAACAACAATAATTATATTCCAAATTACGAGGTGTGTTCAAAAAGTAAGGTGACTCTTCAAATTTCGCGAATTTCAAATTTTTCGATTATCGATTTTTTTGTTTTGTTATATTGGTACACTCTTCCCTA